AGCCCCAACCCTTGCTACTTGGAACTAAGTGATGTCGGGGCACAGGGGTGGAACTGAGGGGAGCTTCCCCTTCCTTTCCTTAGCAAACTTCCAGGTGTGTGTCTGCCAGTGCACTATGTGAGGCTGAAAGGGATTTGGGGGTTCCAAATATATAACAGTTGTATATTAGCAAATCCCCAGATAGAACTTGGAGGAAAGTTTCTTTCACTCTCCTTGCTCTAGCCTACTTGTCTACTTGTTTAGACACAATTGCACCTATTCCTTTAAGAGCTTTAGACTTAACTTGCTAGGTTAGAGTGCGCCAAGTTACAAACTCTCTGAACAAAGCCAGACTTGTGGATACTAAAAATCAAAATTTTAGCCTGACCTTTAAAAAAGGAAGCAGGAAAAAGGAGATGGAACCATTTAAGTTATATCAAAGAGAATTTAAGTTGTAAGTTACTAGTATTTCTTTTTTTTAAGATTTATTTATTTATGCATACAGAACTGGGGTACAGGCCAGAGGTGCAGGGGTGTTGAGAGGACTCAAACAAGGTGGGGAGCAGAACAAACAGATCAACGAAGGATGCTGCTGAGGGGAGCAGCGGGAGGGTCAGGAGAGGGGCTGCTGTGCCATGTGGGTCACCTCCGGGGATGGGGATCGAACTCAGCATTGAAGCGACTGAGGCCAGCTTGCAGTGCTGCCTCTGAGTCCTTACCCATTGTGCCCCCAGGGAGGGCCCGTGTAAGTTACTAGTATTTGAATGGAGATTGCAGTTGAATTTGAACTGCAGGCAGGAATCTATAATATAGGCACTTAATGTTTGATTGATTGACTCTTCCTTTGTCCTCCTTAAACTTTACCCTGAATAGATTCTCTAAGTTGATTATCAGTTTAGTTTGTCTGCTTTTTGAAAGACAGAACATCATTTTTAAAGGACAGATTTCACATATATAAAGGACAGATTTCACATATATATAATAGTCATATACATACAAATTGGAATTTTAAAGTTTCTCTTGACAAAAAATCGGCTTTGGCGTCAACAGGTGGTTCACATTCCCTGGAGAGAACTGGCTGGCACAGGCCGTGTCCTTTTGTGAAGTTCTGACATATTAACTACCCAGCCCTTGCAGGTGTTTATTTAGGGACCCCAAGTACCATAGTATTTGGCTTATATTATTGAACAAAGGAAAATTCTGGTTAATCTCATCTTCATTTCTACTGATTTACCCATTTTACCAAGATGGCAAGTTTGTCATTTTTCCTATAGATTTCTCCGAAAAATTCACCATTGAAATTTTAGCATCCGTTTTCACTAAGGTTTCCCTGTTAAGGCTTTAGTTTTGCCAATTCAAATGATGTTTCACAGAAAGTCCTATGATCAAGGTGCATGTGTGACCATTTAGTCTGCTGGCCACTTTCCAGCTGTCCAGCAGCAGCTGCCACAACTCCTGCAGGAAGAGCAGGGAGCGGACACAGGGTAATGAGGGAAGTGCTGCCAGTCCCAAGGCCAGTGTTTGCAAGGGCCTGAGTCCTGGCAGACTGTGGAACAGAACACACAGAATTGTAAATGAATAGCTGGTGATGCTAAGAAAGGCAGCAGAAACCCAACGTTAGCTCTTGGGGCCAGTTAGCTCAGGGGAAAATCACATTGTCTGAGAAGCTCCAACCCTTGCTACTTGGAACTAAGTGATGTCGGGGCACAGGGGTGGAACTGAGGGGAGCTTCCCCTTCCTTTCCTTAGCAAACTTCCAGGGTGTGTGTCTGCCAGTGCACTATGTGAGGCTGCAAGGGATTTGGGGGTTCCAAGGAGGGGAGCAGGGAAAGAGCAGGTATGTGGTGGGTGAGTGATGAAGAGGGAAGTGGGGAAGGCATACTGACTGGTGCAGGGGAGGCAGTAGAAGTAGCCTTGGAAATTATTGCAGTCTTGCGGAGGGGCAGAGACTCTGTCTCTGTGCCAGTTTGGGGCTTTGGGAAAAACAGTTTGTTCTTCCAGGTATTAACTTTATCTCAGTGGTATCTTAAATGGTCACCTTGATGTGATGGATCAGTAATTGTCATTCTCAAAGTGTTCTGAATAAACACAGGAAGCAGCTTATTTAACATGAATTAAATGCATTGGAGCCTACCCAGGCCTCTCTCCTCGCATGCTGACGTGGCTGCTGCTCCCAGAACTCAGTCCATAAACATGTCTATCATCCCTCCTCAGTGGCCCAGAGCCAGATAAAGTCACAACATAATCTTGGGTTTTGTAGGCTTAACTATTTCTGTTGTATAATAAGACGAAGACTTCATTTGTGTCAAGCAGAAGCACATTAGATTTTACTTCACTGAGCCCCCAAACAGTCCTCTGACAACCCATTTTCTCACAGTAGGATGGCTCCTTATTACACAGGTAATTGCTTAGGACTTACAGTTTGCATCCTAGGAGAAAAATTTTATCCTTTGTCCCTAGGGAGGATTACAAGAGTATGTATTTGTGCTTTGAAGGTGGTTCCGCAGGGTTAGAACTTTCTACTTCATGAGGGGCTTGTAACCTGCCCTTCAATTTTTCTCCTGGTGTCACCTAAATAATTCATCCTAGATGCCCTAGATTTAGGGCCACTGTTAAATGAAGCATGTAGATTTTGATTCCAAAATCCAGTTCTCATACCTTGTATACCGTGTAGGTATACCGTGTAGGTTTTTTCCCTATATCTACAGCAGACTGATACAGTATCATATATTTCAAATCTAAGTCCTATATGGACATCTTTAAAGAACATTCTTTTTATTCTCGATAAAAATGTTAAGTTGTGGGCCCTCCCTGGTGGCGCAATAGATTAAAGCCCAGCACTGCCAGCAAGCCGCAGCCCTTCAGTGCAAGTTCGGTCCCCAGATCCCCACTTGGGAGGTGATCCACATGGCTCAGCAGACCTCTCCTGTCTTGCACACCACTCCCCTCAGCAGTGTACTTTGTGGGTCAGCCTGTTCTGCTCCCTACTCTGTCTGGTGATTCCTCTCAAGGCACCGGCACCTCTGGCCTGTACCCCAGTTCTGTATGCATAAATAAATAATTTAAGTTGTGTTACTGTTACTTGAGATACAAATATAAAACCAGGTATAATCCCCTGGGGTATAAATGAAAACAAAATTTAACATTAATTTACAGAATAATTAATGTTAAGCAAAACTAATAGCACCATCCTAAAACACAGCATTGATTCCTCAGGTGCAGTTTTGAGTTTGATGGGCATACACACCATGCTCAGAATGAGAAGCATTTTTTCCCTATAACTCTTTTCTTCTTCAACCATTAATGACATAGCTTGGCCCCTCCCTTAGCATGATGCATTTTGAAATTCCACTCTTCTTTTCTGATTGCCTTGAGACAGTGAAGGTAGTATCCTACTTAGTAACAACACTACCATAATTTCTATGTTTTGAGTGTCTGAAACAATGACACAATGCAGGTACTTATGGAATTTTACAGGTGTGACAATCGCTTTCATTAGTAAAATAGTATACTTTAAAAATTCAAACTCGGCCCTCCCTGGTGGGGCAGCGGGTTAAAGCACAGCACTGAGAATCTAAAGCCGCTTCCGCATGAGTTCGATTCCCGCCTGCCCCGGAGGTGACCACATGGTGTGGCAGACCTCTCCTGACCCGCCCGCTGCTCCCCTCAGCAGTGTACTTCGTCGATCTGCCTGTTCTGTTCCCCACTCTGTCTCTGGTGTAGCCTCTCACCGCCCCTGAGTCTCTGGCCTGTACCCCAGTTCTGTATGTACAAATAAATAAATCTTTAAAAAAAAAAATTCAAACTCAAAAAAGCTTGTGACATAGTGTTGGTATTTTCCCAAGGAAGATTTTTTTTAACCCTAATCCAGCCTAGATTTTCAGGAAAAAAGTGAATAAAGAACATGTAGAAAACTAGCAATTCAACAAAGGGTGGTAAATCCCCCCCCCCCAAAAAAAGAGGGCTTATGAAAACAGAGATGGACCGAATTAACCAAAACTTTAGCGTCACACAATAACAGGAAAATAGAAGTTAAGCATTAAGTTGTAATAGGGTTAGAGAAATTTTAGAAAATAGGTCAGTTCCTGAAGAAGTATACACCCAAGGCTAAGAACAGGGAAAAGCAAGTGAGGTAACTGACATGAATAGCCCAAGTGTCAGGTTTCACTTTGTGTTTATTTAAAAATCATGGTTTTATTCATCACTGATTTGTTGTCTTAACTTTCATTTTAAAATATTTCATTAAGCGGGCCCTCCCTGGTGGCGCAACAGCACTGTGAAGCTCTCTGCAGTCTCTGCAGCACCAGGTCAACCCCCTGCCAGGGAGGTGACCCAGATGGCTCAGCAGACCTCTCCTGTCTGCCCACTGCTCCCCTCAGCAGTGTACTTCCTCAGTCTGCCTGCTCTGCTCCCCACTCTGTCTCTGGTGAATCCTCCCGCCACCCCTGCACCTCTGGCCTGTACCCCAGTTCTGTATACATAAATAAATCTTTAAAATACTGCATTAGGGTAGTATTGACCTTGATTACGAATTGTGCTGGCACCCTTCTACATTTTGTGCTTGAGGCTAGTGCCTCACACTAATCCTGGCAGTGAACCAGAGGGTGCCCTGCAACTGAAAATACAACCTGAAGCCACATATGGCAAAAGAGAACAGTCTTAAAAGAATGTGACAGTCCCAAAATGTAGGTTATTGACATACTTGCATCGGAACAGATCAGTCAGATCAACAGAGGTAGGAAAGATGAGAGCAATCCAGCTAATTTTTTCCCCATCGTTCCAGAAGGCACAGAGACCTGATCCTGGACGACCCCTGTCGCCTGCTTTGCCCTGGCCTAGGACGCAGGTCCCCAGTAGCCAGTGCGGTAGGCGATTGGGGTCAGCAGCTGGCCTGGTGCTCCGCCAGGGAAGTTCCGGGTGGCGTGAAGCAGGTGGCACAGAAGACTCTGCGCTAGCGGGCGCGTGGGCAAGAGTGCAGCAGTCGCCACCCTGGACTGCATTGGCTCCTTCGTGTGGTCCTTACAGTACCCGCACGGCTCCTCTGTGCATGTCTTCCCCTGGTGCCGCACCAGCAGTCACCTTCCACGCGAAAAGCCGCCCGGCCTAGCCAGGGCCGCCCAGCAGGCTGCACCAGGGCAGAGCTGGAGTAGTGGCCCAATGCCACGCGCATCAGGCACTGCTGGCACCCGCTGCTCTGCACCTGTCCTGCCCTCTCTCTGGGATCTGACTTCAACTCTGGCTTGGGCTCCCGCACCTAGACTCAGGTTCCTAGGCACTTCTGCTTTACGACCACGTTACGACAGATACCTTAGCGCGACAGCCGTAAAGCGGCATGACGTCTTGTTTTTGCGCGTGCACGTGCGTTTTGAGATGCCAGATTCCTGCCCTTTGCGCACGTGCGTGCGTGTGTGTGTGTGTGTGTATTCAATGTTCTGATATTTCCTTAGTGTTTTTTTTAGTTGAACATATTTTTTGTCTATGTCTTAAATAAGTGCACTTGGGCTAAATTTAACTGTACCCCACCATAATAAAGTAGTACTTCCATGGCTTTGGGATATTTTTGATTTCTGCTTAAACCTGTGAGCTGTATGTGAGTTTCAAAAGAAATGTTTGTGAAGTTATAAAGATATGGTAAATTTAATAAGTTTGCACAAAATTCTTTCACAAGAGGGTGAGGTGGGTTTGGTGATAAAACTTCCTGCAGGAGCCAGGAAATTGTACCTTTTGGTTGGGAACTTTTGCGAAGGTCAGAGTTCCCTTTTTGTAGCTGCTGGGTTTGTGTGTGTGTGTATGTGTGTGTGTGTGTGTGTATTTTGAAGATTTATTTATTTATGCTTACAAGAACTGAAGTACAGGTCAGAGGTATGGGGGTGAGAAGACTCACCAGAGACAGTGCTGGGAACAGAACAGGTAGATTAACTGAAATACACTAAGGGGAGCAGAGGACAAGGCAGGAAAAGTCTGCCATGCCTGCTGGTGACCTCCCTGGCAGGGAATCAAACTCATGTCACAGTGGCTTCAGATAGCTTCCTATAAGTGCTGGGCTTTAAGCTGTTGCACCACCAAGGAGAGTCCTATCTACTGTTTTGTTTTTTTTTTTTAAGTGGCTTTCCTTAATATGTTAGAATTGCAATTAGACATTGTAGGTGAAATGGATAATGTCTTAGAAAACTAAGGTATCAAAATAGATTTGATAAGTTATGGAAAATCTAACCAAAAACCTTTAAAAGAGATTAAATTGAAGGGAAATTGGTCAAAGGGCTATTCTAATTAATGAAAACTCACAGTAGCTGAAGATTTGGCCTCATTACTCTTACTCATTACTCTTGCCAGAGCATGGCGAGCTGAAACTGGCAGGCTGCGTTGATAAAAATACGAAGGTTTTAAAACAAAATTGTTAGCTTTATGACTGGCTAAAAAGAACTTAAGACAAAAATAGCAAACTATAAGGCAACATGAAATAAAGCTAAACAATAAACTATCAATTAGGAGAAAAATTTTTTTAAAGATCTATTTATTTATGCATACAGAACTGGGATACAGGCCAGAGGTACAGGGTTGGTGAGAGGATTTACCAGGGGAGAAGAACAGGCCAACTGAGGAAGCACACCGCTGAGGGTAGCATCGGGCAGTTCAGCAGAGGTCTGCTGCGCCATGTGGTCACCTCCAGGGCAGGTGGGAATCGAACTCATGCTGAAGTGGCTTTAGCTTCTTAGTGCTGTGTTTGAACCTGCTGTGCCACCAGGGAGGGCCTTGCACTAAGAGTTTTATTAAAGTTTTTTTTTCACTTTGTCTTTATGTAGCTGATGGCAGAATGTCTTTAGAGTGTGAAAATTGAGGTTCTGGGGTAACCCCGAGTTTGAACATTAACAGAAGTATTGTTGAGAAATGGAACTGTCATTCACTGCAGGAGGAAGTTGGTGTAATCATATTGTAGAGCGATTTGCCAGTATCAAATGCAGTTGTAGGCACAGGATTCCCTTCCTTATTCCAATTTTAGTGCTCGCGCTACCAATGTGAGTGTATCCTACAACCTAGCAATTCCACATAAAGTGTATTCTTCTAGAACAGGTCTCCAATCATGCTCCAGGAGTAACATTATCAGCATCAACCTGGAAATTGTTAGATTTGCACATTTTCTGGCCTCACCCCAACTGTACTGAGTCAGACATCTGAGATGAAGGTAGGATTAATAGCAGGTTCTGATTTAGGCTTTTCAAATAATGCTAATGCCTATTAAAGTTTGGGACTTCTCACGCAAGTCCCAAGGAGAGCATAACCCAGTGGTTTAAGAAGCGTCAGTTTTTCTGGATTCCAATCCCTTTCCTGTCATTTGTTGTGGGGAAGACAGAATGTGTCTCTAAAGTAGTTACACATCTACAAAGTGGAAATAAATGTAGTACTTTCTGCACATAGTTCTGTGAATGAATTAATTCACATATTGTGGTTACATTAATGTCTAAGCACACAATCAAATGTAACTTATTAGGATGTTCATTATAGCCTTGCTTATAACATTAAACTACTGGCAAGAAACTTCTTAAAAATAAGACTGAAAACAAATATGGACAAGAATTAAAATTAGAAGTTGGGGCCCTCCCTGGTGGGCAGCAGGTTAAAGCACAGCACAAAGAAGCTTAAGCCACTTCCGCATGAGTTCGATTCCTGCCTGTCCCGGAGGAGATCCACATGGCGAGGCAGACCTCTCCTGACCCGCCCGCTGCTCCCCTCAGCAGTGTACTTCTTCAATCTGCCTGTTCTGCTCCCCACTCTGTCTCTGGTGAATCCTCTCACCCTCCGCATCTCTGGCCTGTACCCCAGTTCTGTACGAATAAATAAATAAATCTTTTTAAAAAAATTAGAAGTTGGATCCTAGGCATACAGGTATTTTTAAAGTTCTCAGTATTTTCTATTTGTTGAAATATTCCACAAGCAAATGAGAATAGGAGTAATGTCATAAATCACCTTTTGGTGTCAAGATATCCACCCAAGAGTGTTATTTTAGGTAAATCATGTCTTAAAATGTTTCAAAATTTTGAAAATTGTCCTTAGGAAGAAGTTCCTGACAGGTATTCCCGATGTAAAATATGAAGCTATACTGTCCCAGCACATTTTTCAATCTTCTTCCTATCACTTGCGCATTGTTATTCTCTAATCCCAACTAAATTTGCACAAATCTTTTTCTACTTTATTGACTTCACACCCATGCTCTCCTCTTTATTTACTGCCCTATTCAAATTCTATCCATCTTTCAAGCCCCTAGCTCAAATGCTACCTCCTTATTTAAAATGTACCTGAATCTCTTATAATTTATCTCTTCTGCCTCAGTGTTCCAGTTTCCTATCATGCAGTACTTGCCACCTGCCTTATGTGATATGTTTTCTCCCTACTTTATTTCACACTTCTTTAGAGAAGCAGATCATCTCAGGTTGTAGATTCTAGAAAGGAGTCTTTATTTTCAAAGAATCTGAGGGAGATGATAATCAGGGCCCCCCACCTCCAGTCTTATCTGGGCCCCTGCAAAACTTTCCATCCACTGGGCTCTTGAAGACAGACCATAGATTTCAGGGAATGGCTGCTGTTCTCACATAATCACCCTTCCAGGATTTCCAAGTAAGTGGCATTTTTGGGGTGATAGCACTCTGGCGTGCCTTTCCCAAAGCAGGCATCATGACAGGGTTAGGAAAGGGACTGGGGGTGGACTCAGTACAATTTCACAATAAGCTTCAAATCCTGCCCATATGTGCCCTTGGTTTCTTCCATCTTATCTAACCTACTCTGCAAGGTTTTTCTTGTTTTCAATTTTTTCACGCGTTGCCCTCCAGGAGTCCCAAATTCCATTAAAACACATGTATTTTTGTAAACTCCAGTTTAGAAGAAAAATAGGTTCTTTCCCATGGATTCCTGGCCTTACAAGATGTTTGTTTGCACCGGTGGGTCCTCTTGGTGGGAAGGTTTAACTTCCTTAACCCCTTATCAATTTGCTTCTCCAATCAAGTAAATATGTATCGAACAAAAATAACTTAAATGCAAAAGAAACATTACACCATCCCCACTTTTCAACCTTATCGGCTTCTCTAAATCTCACCTATGTGGAAATCTAGATCACCGTTGCTTAGCTTTTGGAAAAAAAAAAAAAAAGAGGAAATATTCCGACAGGAAGCTGCATCAGACTACCACTAGGGGGCGATGTCAACCAAAAGAATCTCACCACTGCCTTCTTTCCCTGGAGTTTGCTGTAGTTTCTCCGCTATTTACTATATCCAAGAGAGTTTGATCTCGGCGATTCTTCACGGCCATACTAAGAGCACCAAAAGGGCCTGCCAACAAGTAATGAATGGGCTTGGTATATGCCTCTTGTTTTTTGATCATTTTTTCTGACGATGTCAAGTGATCGTTAGGTGAGTCCATTCTACCTTTAGATTTGAAAAAAATAATCCACTTTACTAAATGCCTTTCTAGTTTAAAACTATTCCTTGAGTTGATGTCAGCACTCCAGTAACTCAAATTTCTAAACACGCCGGTTTGTCTAAGATTCGTATTCCCACCATGCTTCTGAAAGCCCATTTCGTATTATATAGCTCTTGGGTCACAAGTAAGAGCAGTGGTCCTTGTATTAGTTCTTTGAAACTAGCAACTCTTTTTAAGTTTTCTACTTCTAGCGTCCAGCATTAGTGATTGACTAAATCAGAACCCACAGACAGAGATTCCTGCATACTAAGATGGATGATGAGTGAATGGATATAAGCAGGAATGAACCTAACCCTTGTACAATAAGCATCAAAATGTAGCTAAAGAAACAATTTTAAGATATAAATACATTAATAAGGTTAAGGATGACCAGTGTTCTCCTACAGGACTTTCAAGAAGTTGTAAAAATGAACTTTATGGCATGTTGAATTAAGTTTTATGTATAATGCAGTGGGTCTTTTTTTTTTTTATAGCATCTTCACAGAATTGCACATCAACACCTGTAAGTCTGACATGTTCCATCAGCCCCAAAGAACCCCTGTAGATGTTAAATCATTCTCTATTCTCTACTTTCTGTCTCTATGGATTGTCTATTCTGCACATTTTGTATACTCCAGCAATGCCCAAAGAACATGAAAATGTTAGCATGGATAAAATTCCCACACCCCTATCTTAATAGCAGCATTTTCCATAATTGCCAGATCGTGGCCCTGTCTCTACTTCCTTGTAGTCTGGGCAAGTGTCCATATTTCTCCAATTATCCAAATCCTTCAGAATTTAGCCTGGCCCATCCCTGGTGGGAAATTTCCAAACTTGCGCCAGTGACTCAGGCAGTCACTGTCATTTTTACTGTATGTGTGTGGACTTAGAAATAATCGCCATTGTGGAGTGTGGAAGAAAGAAAAACTATTTTTGAAATAAAAAAAAATTGAGGATTAACCTAGAAAAGAATCATCTGGTAGGAAAAGGGTCCCAGTTAGCAGATTTCTTTGGACTTGCCCATCTTTTTTCCCCTCCCCAGGTAGGATCCACATTATATCATGGTGGGGCTTCTTAGTTAAAGAGTCAGATAGAGAAACAAAGCAATCATTTTTACATCATGTGATAATTTCCCAACATTCTGGCAGAGTAAGGTATGCATATTTGAAACTCCAGGAGATCATTATGTTTGGATAGATGCAATCGGGTTGAGGAAGGCAAGTACCTCACAAGATAAAAATCTGTCCTAAGGAAATGTTTGTGTTGGACACAGATGTTTGTTTAGGGGGAGAGCAGGTCCCGGTAGAGCTTCCGCTGGCAGTCAGAGAGTTCTTGCTGATGCGGGCAAAGGCCAGGGCTGACTGCAGGGCACTGACTCAGCCCCTGTAGGACTACCTTGCTTTTGTGCTCAACCTGCTAATTTCTTTCACGTACACACTGTCATTCTCACTTGTTGTATCTGCAACCTCATACACATTGTTGTCTGCAGTTTTTCTCATTTTACACCTTGTCTTGAGTCTTTGAACTTCATGTCTATCTCCCCCAACGGAAAGTACTTTCTAGAAGGTAGAATGATGTCTTGCCTGGGATCTGCACATACACAAAGCCCCCAATTAATGTTTGCGCCTTGTTCCAGGGAATTAACATCCTGTATCTCCAGAATCTTTAAGAGTCAGGCTGCTGTCTACAAATAATCAGATTTCACATTTTCTTTCTTTTAGCTATACTTCCCATTGTGTCCAGCTGTTGCACGGAGGTTTCACATAATATTCCAAGAAAGCTTCTGAAAAGAGTGAATATGTTTTGCATTCAGAGAGCTGACGGGGATTGTAACTTGGAAGCAGTCATGTGAGTGTGCTTCAGCAGGAAGGTCTAAACTTACGGAGTTATCTTTTCTCTGGCCTCATACACACCTTGCAAATAATCATCATAGAAAGGGACATTAAATATTCTGTCTTCCTGGTCCCCCAAGTGCATACACACCCTCACTGTAAAGTAGGCCCCCAATTCCATGGGGAATGTGTTCTAACACCCCCAGTGAATGTCTGAAATCACAGATAATACTGAACCTTCTATAGATGATGCTTTTCCCTCCACATATTTATGATATGGTTTCACTTAAAAAGTAAGCACACATGGCCCTCCCTGGTGGTGCAGCGGGTTAAAGCACAGCACTGAGAATCTAAAGCCACTTCTGCATGAGTTCGATTCCCACCTGCCCCAGAGGTGACCACATGGCGTGGCAGACCTCTCCTGACCCGCCCGCTGCTCCCCTCAGCAGTGTACCTCATCAATCTGCCTGTTCTGCTTCCCACTCTGTCTCTGGTGAAGCCTCTCACCGCCCCTGAGCCTCTGGCCTGTACCCCAGTTCTATATGCACAAATAAATAAATCTTTTTTAAAAAACAAAGTAAGCACAACAGGGGATAACTCAAAATAGGACAACTGTGATGATATACTGTAATAATATAGGCAAAACTGGTTTCTTTTTCAAAATATCTCATCTCACATAATAGTTTTGAGCTCAGTTGGCCTTCCATAACTGAAGCCTCAGAGAGAACCTGTGGCTAAGGGGGGAGAGTGTCCAGAGCCCCCACACTAGTCCTCTGCCCCATCCTGCAGTGCGGTGTGTTTGTTCCATCTAAAAGCCTTCCTTAGGGGACTGTTAGCCTGACAGAGGGGCACCCTGGACTCCCCAAACTTGCATGCTCTGAAAAGATCTGGCCATCATGTGCACAAAGGCAAAGCACACTGTTCATGTGAAGTATGCATAGAGAGAAGACAGGATATTACCCAGTTTCCCAATAAAGCACCCCAGCTATCCATCTCTTGTGGGCACATGGCCAGCCAAACCAGGGTAGGAGCGCTGAGGCTCAAAAGCTTGCCACAGTCTAAGGCCCCTTCTTTTGGGGACCCATACAAAAGGGATTGTGAAGCAGGTCCCAGAAAGCTGGGACAGGAGACACCATGTTCAGATAACGGTGGTCACTGCCCGTCTCACCACGCGTCTCTGCACTCTCCCCGCCGTGTCTCCTCCAGGCACTACAGGGGTACAGCCAAGATGCAGAAGTGCTCTTTCTTCTTTCCCACAGCCCCCCTGCCTTGTGTTATGTATCTTCACCCTCATCTGGCCTTCAAGCTCCACCCTTAGTTCAGTACAGAGAACACGGCCCCCCTTATGGGGGTGTCTCTGTAATAGGACTACGTGTGTGACTTTCTAAGCAAAATAAAGCATACTTTAAGCAAGTGAAAAAAAGCAAAAGGTGATTCTTATTTATGAGAAGTGCTTTTTTCAAGCAAGTGCCTGGGTTGCTGTCATTTTTACTTTCTAAATTCATTAATAGATAAAAGGTATATCTCACATGCATGTGAAGCACAAACACCCTTCTTTCCTTTTGATTCTGGGCTGTTGGCTAATGGTGAGCCCTAATACCCCTCCTACCTCCAGCCCTGGCTCAATGATTCAGTGTCTCAATGGTGTGAATAGCATCTGTATTTAGCAAGCCTGGATCTCGACAACAATGTTGCGAGGAAGACATAAAATATCTCCCTGTTATACAGGGGAAAGCTGTGACCAGAGAGGTCACATAGTTCACTTGCTGACAGTGATGGCAGGAGTGGGATGTAAACCCAGGTCTCTTCTTAGAATTCTCTAGACCTTCCAGCTCTCTCAGAACCATTGGTAGGACTAGCCATAAAATGCTCTTCCAAAATTCTGCATTCAGCACCTTCAACACGTGCAAAGGTGTAGAAGCTGCTCCTTGCAGTGCTGGTCTTAGCACCATTATGGCTCCAGCTGATACTGAGCCAGTTGACTACAAATAAGCCCTTCCCACCCCCCATTCCTTCACCTCCTTTTAATACTTTCTGCTGATGTCCGTGGACCACAGGCAGCAGTAAAGATTCAGTCTCATGGTGCTCAGATTTAGGACTCAGTAAGTAGGAATATGCTATGTCTAAAAGTGGGAACTGCCCGTAAGTCGCTAAGTTTTTACTTCCTTGTACTTTCTGTCAGTGATTTTTTTTCCCTTCTTGGCAGCTTTCATACCAAGCACAGAAGATTCTGTGTCAGCCCTAACAGACATGTTCGGCAGTGGATGAGAAAAAACACAGTCAAGAAAATTATTAAAGACCATATTTGCTATGAGAAGAAACACCATAACAAGAGGAATGGTAGAAAGGCCCACAGGAAGGAAAATTAGGTCCTTGGCTCTAAGGCGCCTTACTGAGGTCTGCAAATGAATCTACAAAGAATACTTCTGAGGTGAACTTAGCCGTGGCGGTTGTTCCTTTACCTGTGAGTGTTCCTTAGTGGGATCCAAGAGGGCAAAACACAATCTAATTTTGTATAAAAGAACTATTATACAATTTGCAAATGTGACCATTAATAAATGAAAAATGAAAAGGTGAGACACATTTTAAGAGCACCATGCAAATATAATTTCTAAGCTTTGTTATAAAGTTTACCAAAACTACAGAGAAGCTGAAAGAATGGCAAATGTTTTCAGATCCTTCACTTAAATAAATAATGGTTAATACTTTGCTGTTTTTGTTTTCTCTGTGTTCCCTCTGTGTGTATATAAAACATTATATAGATATAATTTGGTTTTTGTTAAACCATTTGATAATTTACAAACATGATACTTCTCGCCTAGATTTCTTTAGTGTTACAACTTGGCATCCCTCAAAAATAAATATTTTCTTCATTATCACATTGTCAACTTTATGCTTAAAATATGAACAATTATGTCCACATTCAAATTTCCCTGCTATTTCCAGAGAATTCTCTACAGCTGTTTTCAATCAAGTTTCACATTTTAAAATTCATTATATTCCCTTAATATCTTTTAACCTAAGAAATTTCTCTGCTATTTTCATTTTTCCCTTCTTCTCTTTTTCCCCTTTTCCCCCTCCCTCCTTTCTTCCCATGGCGTGGACTTTTTAAAAAGAGCCTAGGCCAGAACCTTTCCCACTTTCTGGATTCATCTTGTGAAAAAGTAATATAGCTGGAGTCATTTTAAAATGGGGCCAAAGCATTCACTGCAGAAAAACTGCTTTTTGAAACTGGGTTAGACGTCTGCTCTGGGTCAAGCTGCTACATTTCCTGGAAGTCAGTAAGAACAAGAATATCCCTTTTGAAAAAAGCCTGCTAAAGACGAACTGTTACTTTGTGACTCCTCTACCTGTCAACTTGAAACCGGACTACCTGAGTATTTTTACCTTGTGACACTTTTACCTATTACTTCATCCTTCCTTGCTTTCTAAAAACCCACCTGCCTTTTGTTCCTCCTGTTTTGATTTCTGCCTAAATCTATACGCTGTATTGCAATTCTCTATTCCCAAGTGAGTACATTGCAGCTTGTCTGCTAAGCTGCTGTCGTCTTGCTGCTAACCTTTATGTTCTCAGACTGGGACTGAAGAGACAAATTCTGACGCCTGCTCATCACCTCTGAGGGTGCGGTTCCCCCACTAGGCTCCTGGTCCCTCCGCTTGTGAACACCTCACAGTTGGGAAACCTCCGCTCAGAACAGAACTCAGCTTCCCCTTTGCGTCCCCCACCCGTTTGAGATTTTCATTCGATGCAGCTGCTACAGAGATTTTCCCTCTAATGAGTCTTTTCTTAGTGGCTCTTAGGATGTTTGCAAGTATTAGGTGGAAAGGATAATTCTGTCCAAAGGCTCTTGGCTTTTCTGTAATTCTAAAAGTTCTTCAGCCCC